TACCATGACAAGAAAACCTTTCTTTTTTTTTAATCTTATATAGGAAATTAGTTGTTGCCATCGCAAACAATCAATTCATATATTTTTAATGTTAAAATGTATAATTTTTAAGCTAATTCAAAGAAAAATGTCTCTTAAAACGTATTTCTGGTTCTTTTAATCTCATTCTTTTCCATCTTATAAAAAACAATAAAGCTATTGATACCGCTATATATTGTAGTAAATTATTTAGCTCTTTATATACATTTTAGCCGCTATTAAGAGCCGCTGGAGAGGGTCCAAAGAGCCATGTGTGGCTCTGGAGCCGCAGGCTGCAGACCCCTGCTCTAACTGCTTATGAAGCAGAAGTGGAAGCAAATAATCAAACCAGCAACATCGTCTCGTTGCCTTAAAGTTAAACACAGGATTATTTTCACAATTACACACAGGCTGATATGACTCATAAATCCTCTCCTGATGTTGTGGTATTGAAGGATGGAATCAGTTTAACACAGAACCAATCATCTCGTTATCATGTTTCATCTTTCATTATCATTGGATAATGAGAAAATTAACTTAAAACCACTGCCTGCCACATTAAGTCTTTTTAAATATCAGACTTAATGTGGCAGGCAGCCTGTTGCCAATAAAAGAACCAAAAACGTAATTGCATTAACAGTTATTTCAAATGTTTTCAGTTGGATTTCCAGTTTATGATGTCAGTTCTAAGGGTGAATTGATGCTCTTTTGGTTCATAAGGAGCCTATTTTAACTATTCCTTATTTGTGCACATTAATTATGTTTTTGATAAAAATCCACCACATTGCTGCACATGTCCAGCAAATAGACTGATCCAATGTTCATTTTCCAAATCTGTGCAAAACCTGGAACTGGATCCTATCTTTAAACCAGTGAAGCTAAAAGTGAAAAACCTTCAGTTTAAAATTATTATTTAAATAAAAAAGGGACCCATTAGTTACAGAGTCTGTTTTAATATTACGTCTGCCTGTCTTTGCCTAGGGCCCCAAAGTTCCTAAATCCGCCCCTGAACATAACTAGTTAGCAACATCTCTGATCCGTCGCTGGTTCCAAATAACATTTAAAGACTCAAATATAGAAATATCTAAAATCTGCTTAATGCTCAAAGCTACAGTTTTTCATTAGAATAATTAATATTTTTCCTCAATATAGAGGCAGCCTGTCTGTCTTTGCTTTGGGCCCCAAATGTCCTAAATCCGCCCCTGCTGACAGGATAAAACGCTCCAATNCTGTCTGTCTTTGCTTTGGGCCCCAAATGTCCTAAATCCGCCCCTGCTGACAGGATAAAACGCTCCAATTAAAATGAAACAGAAAAATGTTCAAATTCATCCTCCGCTGAAAACTGCTGCTTCTCTTCCAGACGCTGATTGGTCAGACGACGGTCAACCACGCCCCTCACAGCTGTGTGCTGCGCTCTGATTGGTCCGCTGAGCCGCCAATCCAGGCCGCGCGGCAGCCGGAGCGGCAGCCGGTTCGTCCTCCTCCTCCTCCCGCAGCAGGGTGGGTTGAGCGGCCGGGTAGGGACCGCGGACAGCTCCGCTCCGAGGGGCAGAGCAGCACCGGAGGAGGAGAGGGCTGGATATGGAGGATCCACCGCACAGGCCCGTCTGATCCACACTAACCCACACAAAGGAGCTGGAGGACGGGGAGACCCTGCTGGGAGGCACCGGTTCTGACCCATCCCGGAGGAGGAGCAGGAGGAGACCGAGGAGAGACGATTCCGCTCCGCCTGATGGACTGAGAGGACAGATGAATGAAGGCTGCCTACACTAACGCCTATCGATGCCTGGCCAAGGACCTGGACGCTTACGCCATGAACGCGGACATGACAATGGACGGCCTGGGCAGCCTGCACGGGGGGGTGGCCCCTGACGCGGAGCTGATGAGCGGCTCGTCCGGCCTGCGGATCCACCAGGAGCTGGCGCCCCGGCCGGCCATGGTGTCCGGGATGATCCTGGAGGGCAGCGGGGAGTACCGGCCGGAGCTGTCGCTGCCGCTGCACCACGCCATGAGCGTCCCGTGCGACGCGTCCTCCCCCGGGATGAGCGGCACCTACACCACCCTCACCCCGCTGCAGCCGCTGCCGCCCATCTCCACCGTGTCCGACAAGTTCCACCACCACCACCACCACCACCACCAGCGGCTGTCCGGGAACGTCAGCGGCAGCTTCACCCTGATGCGGGACGAGCGGGGTCTGCCGGGCATGAACAACATCTACACCCCCTACAAGGACCACATGTCCGGGATGGGTCAGAGCCTTTCCCCGGTGCTGGGCAACGGCCTGGGCTCCATCCACAACACCCAGCAGGGGCTCCACAACTACGGCTCCGGCGCGCACGGAACCCACGACAAGATGCTCAACTTCGAGCACCACCAGCACCGAGGCCTCGGCGGCCCGCCGGCCGGGATGATGCCGCACCTGAACGGCATGCACCACCCGGGACACCACCCCCACCCGCACCTCCAGTCTCCGTCCCACGGGCAGGTGTTGGCTTCCACGCGGGAACGGCCGCCCTCCTCCTCCTCCTCGTCGGGGACGCAGGGGGGCAGCGGCTCCGGGCAGCTGGAGGAGATCAACACCAAGGAGGTGGCGCAGAGGATCACCGCGGAGCTGAAGAGGTACAGCATCCCGCAGGCCATCTTCGCCCAGAGGGTGCTGTGCCGCTCGCAGGGGACGCTGTCCGACCTGCTGAGGAACCCCAAACCCTGGAGTAAACTAAAGTCCGGCCGGGAGACCTTCAGGCGGATGTGGAAGTGGCTGCAGGAGCCCGAGTTCCAGAGGATGTCTGCGCTCAGGCTGGCAGGTAGGAGCCGCTCAGCTTCCTGAGCTTCAGCTAAAGATTTACAAACAATTTAAGACATTCTGGGAAAATAAAAACCACTTAAAAAACTCAAAATAATCCCCGGATCTTTTCTACACTTCATTACGTTTCCCTAAATTTACCTTTAAATTAAATCAGGTTAAAAAAAGTTTTTTTTTCCTATTTTATTTATTATTATTAATATAACAAACAGTAAACAAATAAAAGTTTTTTTTACAGGTGTTTCCAGTAAAAATAAATGTTTGTTTTTGGTGCCAAGAGAAAAAAGAAAAGGAAATGTTAAAAAATTCCCACACAGCGTGTCTTTGTTTGGTCTCCCTGCCCGCCGCTCTGAGTGGATGATTAATTCGGTATCACTTGTGTTTTGATTAACATTATTGATCAATAACAAACCAGGATCGATAGGAAATGACAAGGTCGTGGGATTTCCCTCTAACAGTCCCCCTCCCCCACTTATTTCCTCCTCTGCATTCAGAGGAAAAACAAAACACACCTTTAAAAAAAAACTAATTTATCTTTATGGATTTATCAGGCGCTTTTATCCAAAGGGTTGAAATAAAGTGGAGGGAGGAGAACTGGCTGATGGTTCCGGTTCTGCTGCTGGTAACGGACCGGTTCGGCTGTGTGGGTCCGCTGCCCCCCCTAGTGAGGAAAGCTGCTCTCTGTCCCATCAGGAGCTTCTATTGTCTGCAGAGGCAGCAGCAGCCAAACAGTCACTGACTGCATCTCCTGCTTTGCTTTAACCTCCATGCTGTTAAATGTTCAGGGGGGGGCTTTATGGGTCAGAAATTTAAACTGAATTTTATTATTTTAGTTTGAAATTACATTTATTTTTAAATTGATTTTTCTTCACCTCCTAAAAAACTTCCTATATGAACAATTCTAGCAGATTTTCATAGGGCTCAATTAGTTTTAATTGAATTCCGTTGTTTTAAATAAATTAAATTAATAAAAAAAAAGTTTTTTATTGTTTAAAACAGCTTTATTCAGCAAAACTTTATCTTTTTTTATTAATTTAAACCAACCAGTTTCAATCAGCTTCTTTCTATTGTGATTAAATCCCTACTTTTATTTTCCTAACAGCTTAATTATATAATTTACATTTTAAAAGAATAAAAAAAAAACTAATAAATGATAGAAATATTTCAGCTGCAAATGTTCTGTGTAAAAATGTGGATTTAAATGGGCTGAAAAAGTGAGGTTTAAAAGTCAGGTCAGGATTCCTGCTCCAGCCTGTTTGGTGTAAACATTTTTTTTTTTGGGGGGGGGCGAAGCCTCAAAGCTGTTGTGCAACGACACAATCAGAGCCTGAACTTTGGGACGTTTGGCAACGTTTTCCAGCGAATCACAGACGTCCTGCTCTATCAGCTCGCCTCATTTTATCTGCTCAGCTAAAGCAAATATTTTCCCCAGACTCAGATTATTCCCTTCACAATCCCACCACCGAACAAAGGGATTAAAATACACAGGAAAATAATCTCAGATGGGATTAAGTTGCAAATTATCTCCTTTTTTTTTTTAACAAATTGAGAGTAATTAAAATTTTAATACTGTTATATTTAGAATTTACTTCTTACTTTGTGGTTAAAAGTTCATAGCGATCGTTTCCCTTATCTTATGATATTTCTATCAATTCATGATTAATAATCAATATTTGTCTATTAAACAGTTTAGAAAACATAAACAGTTTAAAATGTTTTTATCCTTATTTCTTTAATTGAGTAATTAATTTTAATCTAGTTAAACATTTACATAAACAAAATGATGCTTTGCAATTCAAGCCCTACATTGGATTTATTTCTGTTTTTCTTATATCTGTCTTGTAGAAATAGAAATGTTAGACTTTTGAATTTATTTTCTTTAAAGATTACGACAGCAGAGCGAATTCCTCACATTTACTTTTTCCTAAATTTATCCCAAACCGTATTTAAAGTTATAAAATCGCTTCGATTTGCTGGGATTTTATTAACAGACTTTATTACCAAAATTTCTCATGTATTAAATTCAAAATGTCTGCCATATAATCAAATAAAGAGACAAAATTTGTCCAAATAGGAAACAATAAAATAGTTAAATGAGATAATGGATTTGTTTTTCTTATTTGAAATAAATAATCTCCTTTTTTGGTAAATTATTTAACTCAAATTGAGGTGAAATAATAATTTCTTTAAAAAATGGACGTACTTTATTTACATCAGAAATTATTGCTGAAGTATCCAGAATCTGGAACGTGGACTGATAACCCAGATTAAATAATCTGTGTGGTAATTTGACTGTGATTTAATTAAGGTTGTTATTTTTATTGGATTAATTGGTTGAGAGACGAGGACGGCTGCTGAGATCTGGACCCGTTATAAAACGTCTCATTCGTCCTGATTCTGTTCACTCTCTGGCTTCTCCTTCACTCATTGTCTCCAACTGCAAAACCATTTCCTTCAGAAATATTTAGACAAAAACAAAATCTGAGATGGAAAAAAAACATCCAAAGTCTATTTTGTTCTTTCTGAAAGAAGCAGATCTAGGTTAGAATGTAATCGTCCTTTTCTCTCAGCTCATCACCTCGCAGCGCTCAGGATTGTTTTAGCCTTAAAGGGAAACTGATCCAGAAATCAACCAAATTCATACATAGAGAAATGTTTTAAACAGAAAATAGATAAATGATGTCAGCTCTTCTTCAGCTGTTAATGCTAAGAATAGCTTAACTTTGCAGCAAAATTAATACACATTTAATTAATTCTATTCAGTGTATTTCTATATCTCCAATTCACATCATGTCATCTCAGGTCACTTTCCAGTTCACCAGATCATCCAGTCAGATTGATTCAAAGTTTTCTATCTAAGGAAAACCAGCTGATTGCATCGACTCATTAACTCGAAGGTAGTCC